ATTTTATAAGAGTTAACCAAAGGGGACGAATTTTATTATCTACACTCCTTCACACCGTGTGTTGGCATTTCCTAAATTTGGATCTTATGTTAATTAGAAATCCACAGATCTATAATTTCAAGTTACTAATATATTACTTCATTTTGCAGGTTAAGAATCGAGGTTGAAGAACCAGGCAACGAAACGCAAGTCACCAGCAGCAAAATCACACAAACGGTTATTAGCTTAACCACTCAAAGATGTCATAAAGATTAGATCATAATTAAACCAGCTAAGGTACAACATTTCGTAACAAAGGACTGAAAACCAATACGAACCTTTTTTGCATAGGCCGTATAAACAACCGATATAAATTTCAGAAAGATAGGTTAATAACTGCAGCCTACATGATGATTTTGACAAACCCATATCAATTTAAGATATATGGACCGCTTTGATCTTTATTTTGCTAACAAAAAAATGTGCCTAACAGATCGTTGGACATGGCATGCATAACAAAACTATATACAAGCTCTTTCCTTAAATAAATGGGAATAACTATTGGCGTTATTTTTTAAATTAGTGACAATCAAAAGGAACCTCCCATTATTAAAACAAAATATAAATACTAGAGCGCCAGACGTAGACTTCACAACACCGTGGCATGATTATGGAAGATCTCATCGGATATCAATAAGATAGAAAACCACTATTAACTTCTGAAAAGAAATCGGATCATACCTTGCTAAAACAAATTTTGTACAAATGAAAATAACATTGGAAATCATTTAAAATCCATAGGGTTTGTACTTTACTAACACGACATGAAAATAACTTCTTAAAGGGGAATAGTTCTGTGACCTATCATGGAAATTATTGAAATTCAACGTTTATTTTTATTTAATTACGATAGACAACCAATATATATTTAAGAATAAAAAAAAACAATAGGATTATTTATGTCGATAGGATGAACACACAATTTAAATTTCAGAAAGTTATGATGATAATTGAAGCCTCCGATAAAGTATTGTAACAAAGCGGAATAATTCAAGATGTTATCGAAAATCATTGCACACTACTTGGTTTCTTTATTTCATTTACTGAATGACATATTATGCGTTATTGTTGTTTATATTAAAGTAGCTAAATCGCTAATATTTTGGACCTAGAAATTGATACAAATGGGTCGCAACGCATATAATAATGTAATATGAATGTATATAAACTGATTTACATTCAATCGTTTCTGTTTTTACTGTAATTTTCTAATCAGTTATGTACGGCAAAATACGCCAGAAGTCTCAATCGAATGGCAACCTCTAGCGTCTGTTTATTCCAGTCTACACCGAAAGTATTTATTGCGCATGCTCTCTAGATAAGAATATTCCGTCACCGTTCGAAATGACTTGTGGAATATGTATAGCCTCGATTCGTGGTAAAATGATTATTTTGTCTTAATTATTGGATATCAGAAGCCTATCTTTTCCCGGTAAGATCACAACATCAATGTTGACAAAAAATTAATGTTTTCAATGTCGAAGACGTTGGATGGTATTGAGTTAGAGACTTAGCTACTTTAAGCTAATATAAAATGTGAACTACGGACCGAAGAGGGGACGAACAGACTTGCTGACGGTAATATACATGGTGGAAAAAAGTATACTAAACATTCCAAGAATACTATCCAAACATTAGTTAAAGAACCCTAGCTGTAACCACACTGATGCGTGTTCATTCTTTTTTAAACATCTTATCCAAAGTCCTGTACAAAAGGACAGATCTATCATGCGTCGGTAGTCGGTAAATAATCTACAACACAGCGTTACATGTGAATTAATGATACAGCGTTGGGGCAAATAGTGGGTGTTCGACAAATTCACTAAACACCCGATGCTTCGGAAACTGGAAAAACAGAGTCTTGTTATTGTAATTGCCCCCTGGCGCCAAACGCTAGAGTCACAAAAGAAGATTGGGCCGGGGTAGACATACAACACTACTTTTAATTCTGTAAATGACAGTTTTATGTAAAAGTAATGCAACCTGAAATTTCTGCTGCTAAAATATGAATGTTGCGGAGAGAGGAAAATGGGGTTTAACGTCAACCGAATCAAACTAGAACACTTCGGGACTAACATATGGTATATGTTTTTATTTCAATAATGCCCTTTTAGCAGTGGGATTAAACCAGAGGACCTAGAGAAAACCCACGGGGTTGGCAGGCGACGCTACTCCTTGTCACGTACACACTTCAGAGCTAAATTACGCCACTTGACCGAGATCGTGTGGTCTAAACCGCACGGGCTAAATAACTTGACAACCCAACCCTCCAGAGGGTACACAAATGTGTTCTACAAAGGATGTGCACACCCTTCCTAGTGTGTAACACCCGTCATTTATAACAGCATCCCGGAACGGTGGTCTAGACCTGGATTTCAGAACTAGAGTGGTTTAAGATAACCCAATTCGACAAATAGTGTAAATACAAAAAAAAACAACAAAGAATTAATGACACCAAGTGTTCTAGAAAGAACAACCATATCCCGCCCCGTACAGGAAACGCGTCACAACTAATAGCTAACTCGAATGATGGTTTGGACAATATAACTTTATATATAATTTAATGAAACAGCGACAGACGTTAGAATTGCATTACTTATATTGTATCAAATGGGGTCAATCGTTCAGTGGCTGTAACATGGTGTTTATTCATTAGGGAAAGAATCAAGACGGTGAGAATACCTATTATCACTTGTATTGAACATGGTATAAAAATTATCACTAGCGTAGATATTCATTAATACAACCCGTAACACCACTTCGATTTTCGTTTGTCAAAAACGCGAATAAGTATTCAGTTACCTTGAGTTCTTCGAGAAAACTGATTAAGATACCAAAACATAACATTGTGTCCAGCTCAAAAAAAAATCGTTCTCCTGAGGCAGTAGAGCCGGAAATCAAAGCCGACTGCCTGGGTTAATTGTAAAGGATAAACCGGACACATAATGCATCTTGTGTTGCCATTATAGATAGCGTGCGAGAGATGATCGACAAGAGAAAAGAGGTAATCGTTAGGTATATCTAGAATTTTGTAGATACAGATATTCGTGACAGGCTTGGATAAGTTAACTCGATCAAATTTTTTTGTCTCGTTAAGTAAGTAATCTTTTTTATACTTTGTTTTTTTAGGAAAAAAAAAGTTCCTCTTGCTTTTTTAAAAAAAAATTCTGGAACTCATTCCCGTGCCATTGTTATTCTTTAGTCAGTCGTGACTACATGGTATCTTATACCAAGTTTTAATTATGAATTTAATGGCGTCGTCGAAGTTAGAGATTTCCTTTATTAGGTCTAGGTGAGGAGCTATTTTGGTAAGTTTATCACACATACTATTTTGATATATGAGGATCGGTTTTAAAATTAGAATGTTTTTTTCCTGGCTATTTGAAATGTCCCACCCACTGACACCCGATCTCGTGAAACACATTATTGCACACAATAGTAAAGAAAGCGATACTCTATTTTACTATTAATTTCGTTTATTTTTTATCAGAGAGTTCATGAAATCTCCATTCCTCTTCTATTTTTTTTTCAAAACCATAGTTGACTGAAACTCGTTACGTCAATCCAAATCATTGTTCGTTCACTATCTGTTTCAAAACCATAGTTAATGGAAATTCCATTCCTTTTCTATCTCTATCAAAACCATAGTTGATAGATATTCCTTTTCTATCAAACCCATTGTGCACGGAAATTCCATTTCGTTTGAACTGTACTTATCGTTATGTACAAATCACGGGTCATTTACATGACATGCGACTTAACAAAACACATTATAATACACATATTATGATATAAGATGTAGTCAAGAGATTTATTATTGTTCCATAATTACTTCTATAAATTCACACATAACTATCATTCTTTTTACATGAATTAAAATAGATTAGAAATGTATTGGGTGAGTTCGGTAATAAAAGTGATCTTTTCATGACAAAATGTTTAAATTAACTGAAATTCTTGACATCTACATTCTGTACAAAAGTGGCATAAGCGAAGATTAATATCTTTATTGGTAGTCAGTCGATCGATGGTTACATGTTTTATATCTACTTAAACTTATTCTATATGTTTTGCTTAAATAAACCTAAAACCATATTAAAATAATCCCCAAGTTTGGCTGGATCCATGAATACTAAAGTGCTAAGATTGTAAATGTAAACCTTCGGAGGAGTAATTTTTTATAACTATTTATATTCTGAACTTCCAATGAAAAGCATCGTTCGCTGAATCAAATTTATGATTTCAATAAACTGTTAATCGAAAAAAGAATGTCAGTAGTATTAAGAATACATTTCATTTGGTAATAAACAACAGCAGTAAAGTCTTAAACATACACCGTGCAAGAGCTAAATCTGCCTATTGCTTTCTTTCTTTAGGCCTGAAATGTTATCTAAATTATTTATTAGAATTTAATTAACTTGTCCAGACCACAATCAACTCCCTATGCCATAGCCTGCGAAATCTAGCGGATTGGAATACATTTTTGGAAAAGTAATTAAACATAAAACTGGATAATCATGACTTTGTCTTTTATCGTACCCACTTTAGTAATGATGATCGAGGCTAGCCTAAAATTCAAAATCTAATATCGCGGTTCAGAGTGGAACAATATTAGACTGAAATTTTCAGCATATTCTATTAACGTTATCTATTTTTTTTAACTATAATAGTGAAAACTGTCAATTCTCTATCTAATCTCCCATAATACCCCTTTAATATAATTATTTGAATAAGTATATGTATACCAATCACTGGCGAATTTTATATAATATATTCATCTACGGGTATTTCTATTCGTTGTTTTCACACTTCAGTACTCCTATCCCACTGCCCTGTGCACGTGATCATAATATAACAAAACAGGCCCCAACAAACAAGGCGAGGATGTTTTGTTTCGGCCATTGCTTGAATTTTGTTTTAACATATCTGTTCAGTCTGGAAAATCGATGCTTGAAGCTGGCTGATATAAAGTCTGGCACGAGCAGAAACACGGCGAGTTTATCCTTTCCTTTTAGGAAATACGTTCAGTACCTTGCTAAATAGCCGCACTTACAATAGGATATGATTGTAGATAGAACAACTTCACTGCGCTCTTGACAAAATATTAATAACATCAAAAACCTAATCAGACCACCTAAAGGTGTTCGAGAGGATTTAAACAATATTGTTTTATTTCTATCTACTGGAATATCTTTAAAATTTATCCAGATAAGGTATGTATCACATCTGTTCAAATAGAAATATAATGACTTTTAAATCACCAGATTAATCTTTTGCCTTTCATTAAGTTTGACATTCTGATATTTATTTGTATTTCAGTTTTTTATATATTTAAAGAATGGTCTGCAATTGTTTACTTTAGCTAAGGAAATATTAATATCTCAGTGACATAATAGAAGGATTTATGTTTTTGTCCATATTAAGATTCCGTGGATTAAACTACCAGTACTTCCTAAGCTCTTTTATGTTTCAAGGAACTAATTAATTTACCACGTCTGGATTTGCCTTTTTTCACAAACCAAATTAGCTATGTTGTACTGTTTAACCTAGAACTCAGTCCCTAGATATCAACGACAAAAACACAGCAGTGGGAGTTTTATATCGATGATATCGCAGATACCTAATGATTTGTTAATACGCTGATAATGATAGTTCATTGAAAATTCGGTATATAATATCTTTTATTAAACAGGGTTTTGTTAATACGCTTGATCAGTTATTCTTTTAGAGACAAAATAATATGTTCAATGTTAAAAGACAACGTCATTACAACATATTTCACTTAAGGTTCCAATGCCTTAACAAACATTTTGAAAGTTATCTAAATTCTTTTTTTTAAATAGTTGTATAAATATGTCATGCATTAATCTATAAGTGCCTCCATTAACTTTGGAAACGAAAGGAATACAAATTTCCATCATCAATCACTTGGGCAAAAATGAAGAATGTCAGAAGAAAAAACATTCTCAATGAATGCCTGCGTCAACTTCGTAATAATATTTGTCACTCATTCTGGTAATTTGTTTCTCTTTCGGAAGGGAACTAAACGACTAATTCTTTAAATTTGCCATGGAAAGACAACAGAAAGGTTTCTTTGATATTATATCGCTTATTTCATACCAAACGATGTGTTTGGAGAAATCCTAAATGTTAAGTATTAGATGTAAAATGGTGATCTTAAAATTGAGTATATAATGCAATGCTACAGAAGCAATAGTATATCCAAACTGTGAATTTTGGTTTATATTTGTAAAACATTGTTTACCACAAATAACTATTATTGTCAGGCAAATACAAGTTTTGAAACTTCATTTAAAGTGGCGCATTGAAGCTTGGTGAAACATATTTTTCGGATTTCTTACAGGATTTAACGAAATGAAGACGGGCATGCGTCAAGCAGTGTTATGTCGGTGAAATTCCGCATACTCTCCACTTAATCCCAGCTGTTTAGGGTTCTTTTATGTGGACGCCTATGTGTATACATGACCTGGTTTTCGTCTCTTTAAAACGACTAGACAACAATGTACTTTACTAGGCCCACCGTCCAGCACCACTAGTAAGCCGTATCCGGCTAGAAAATTCCAAGGGACTTTCTCGGCCAGCATAGGGATCAAACCGCTGACCTCCTGGCCGTGAGCCAACTCCTTACACACTCGGACACCTTGGCCCCCATGATCACATGGTGGGGTAGAAGGTGGTTAAATAAATATAAGATAATAAGCAAAATATAATTTAAGAGTCCAACACATATTAAGTGGTTTGTGAGGAATTTACAGACAGGGAGGTGTGCTAAATCGATTAAATTGGACAAATGTGCATCCATGTACACTTTCGAATGCACATAAAAGAATGTCTGATAATTGGAAACCAAAGAAGAATAGGCAGAACAGCCGCTGTCTGGTCAAAATTCTCCTACCCCACATTGTATAGGTTACTATTGAAAAACAAATACCATATGTTTTTTTTCTAAAAATGACCGAGATATTCTGTTGACAAGAGATAAAACAGACTCTTCACTTCATGTCTGTTAGGGATAGTGCGGATACAACGAACAAGAACACTCTGTTATCTGCACGCAGTACTACTTCTTCATCAGGAGCCACGGTGGCTAAGTGTAAGACACTGGCTCCTCGCTAGCCTAGAGGTCGCGGGTTCAATCCCGGTGTTGGTCGAGAAAGTTCATCGGATTTTTCCGGCGTGGTTAACCCTGGTCAGTGGTACAGGACGCAGGGACGAAAATACCGACGTCCCGTGTACACATTGGCGTGCACATAAAAGATCCCTGGCAGTTGGAATTAGATATAAGAGGCAAAATTTCCCTCATAGCACACTGTATGGCGTATGCCCGTCTTGATTAGCCCAGTATATTATTACATTATGTCTGATCTTATGCTATTAAGATAGATTTGTTGGGATTAAGCTTTCGTCAAAAATGATTTATCTGGTACTATCATTATCTGCTATCATCTCTGCATTAAGTGTATATTTTAACGTTTAACTCGTTGAATAATTATCAGAGTTCACATATTTATAAAGCTTTACGCTTACGCTTACCCGGGGTAATTCTGTTCAAGGCCACTGTCTCAAACAAGTTTAATGGCCAAAATTGGCGTCAAACGTTAGATTGATATCTGATTTGTCGAAACAATGAGTGATTTCATTGAATCCACAAGGGTTTAGGGAACTCAATATAAAATTGACCACTTTTTCTTAAAGGGATAACGACTTCCGATCTCTTCAGTAACTTCTATACCAGAATAGAAGCATGTGTATGTTTCTGATAATTTATCTGTTCCTCATATGTATGTTTTGATATCATTTTTAGTCATGGATCTTTAAGTGTATCTTGTAAACTTGAAAGGTGCCAAGTAGTTTCGAATAATCAGTCATATTTCAGTGTCTTCGTTTAAACATACATTATGCAAGAGCTAAATCTGTCTATTGCAGGTCTATTAATTAGACATTTATTAACACGAAAAGACCTTAATCAATTCTCGTTTCCATCTTATGTGTCGGATTTTCACTGGATTTGAATTTGATCTGCTGCTCTACACCCATTGATAATTAAATCCAAAAGTGGATAATCGAGACTATGTTTATTTCGTACCGACTTTAGGAATGATGATCGAGGCTAGGCATAAAATTCAATCGGTAATATTTCGGTTGAAAGTGTAGCAATTTGACTGAAATTTTGAACACATTCCCTTAACATTATCTAGTTTTTAACTATTATAGTGAGAACAGTCAGCTCCTTATCTAATCTTCCATAATGTATCTATAAGTACTATACATGCAATTCACCATCCACAAATTCTGCCCAATTTTCTTGTAGCATTGATACATTATTTAGAAGCCATTCTCATTTATCCTTGGAATATACATTTGATAATAAAATGCGATTCTGAAACTTTTTTCTTCTCTGTATGTTTTTCTATATTCTAGAAAACTATACTCAGTTTTCCCCAATCCGATGCGTATCTATGTTATACGACCGTTTTGTTTTGATGTAATTCCCAATAATATAGCCTCTGAGATTTGTGCAGTACATAACAAATACAGTGTTTTATTGTTATTAAGTCCGGGTAGTTTCATCTACCAATTTGATCAAACCTTATATCATATAATAATAGATTTATATATGTAATGCTTTTTCGTTATCAATCCTATCCAGGGCAACTTTCAAATATCTCGTTTCTTGTTTTTGGTCACGTCCGACGTATTCTTTCGTTCGGGGTCTGGTTGAAAACAACTTATTTCTAACCTACTGTTACCGCCCAAGATTTGTGATCTTTAGATTGATTATTTAATCGTTGTATTTGCTTTTGTAATCAGAGGGGTTATATTATCTGAAAATTAGATTACATGTATTTTGATATGATAATACTGAAAATAGAACCACTTCACCCCTGGTGTCCTGAGAATAACGAAGCAGTCCATACAGAAGCATGTGTTGTGTGTAATAGTCGTGTTTGACATGCTATTATAACCTGGGAAATCCTGATAATGTCTCCCTATGTTCAGGTGTAAAATATATTATTTTAGCCCCATCATCTATGTGTATAATACCATATGGCCAGAACACCTGGCATATCAGATCTCTCTTACAGAGTGATAATAATGGTAATATCAGGATTAACTTAAGAAACATATAATTAAGATCATTAGGTGGAACAGGATTATTTTGATAAAGACATCGCTCATATTTTCAGATAGACGTGATTAATCCACAGCTGTCACCTGGCGGTAGAAATTGTCCATTAACATAGAATATTAACCAAGGCTTTAGCAAGTGATACTGCTAGAAACTGTGTCTGAATATTAAGACATAAACAAGGCAAAGCTCCTAAATAGTGTTTGAATAAATAGCTAAATGTAAATTCAGAGATAAAAACGGCTTGAGTCTTGATTTAACAACGACATTGATGTATAGTATTCGAATAAAAGCCCCAATAATATGTTTAGTGTTCTGATAGTGTGACAGGTTCGATATTTATTAAATTGTAGCTGATCTTGTAATTCAACGCCAACAAAAACATAATAATATTGGCTATATCATGTTTGGCCAGGTTCTAGTATTTACAAATTCCAAGGAAGAGACGTATAAAACAAGCCACTCATGCCACGAAAAACAAATTTACAGTTGTAAATAACGGGTAGTCGACTTGAGCTAGTGTCATATCCAAATGGCAAACTCGTGTTCTTTGTAGCCCGCAGTTTAAATTTTGTTATCTTATAGAAACGTACATAGCAGAAATAATGTTGAATGACCTCGAATTTCATTTCCACTTTGACAAACGGCGCAATCACAATGCCTGTTACGAAGCCTGTTATTTACGTTTCCGAATGCGAAAGCAATCTATTGTCTCAAAAGTCATATTTGTATTATAGAAGCATTCTTTTACAATTGTGTTGTTTGTTTAAAGCCCCTTAACGCCAGATAAATATAGATTTTTAAGATCATGCCCCACCAATATTATTTTTATTATATAAAAGGTTTTCATCCTAAGTTATTAAAATCGATTTTCATCTTTAACTGTCTTAGACAAATGCAATTGTTGTATAAACCAAACCATTCTTCGAGACTGTACAAGATAACATAGTAATAGTACATTAAAGTACTAGATATTTTTACTTTTGAGATATATGCGAAATATATGGCTTGTAAATCTGAATTTTGGCATTCAAAACATATTTTTTTTCTATTACTTAAATA